CCAGCCCTCAATGGAGCTTTTTGCTTCCCCTCAATGCACACTCTGCAGGGGTTTCCTAGATGCACAGTCAGGGCCTGCTGCAGAGGAGGGTTTTTTTTTTTTATTATTTATTTATGTTTCTTTGTGACCAGTGCCTTTTTAGTCAGGTTAATACTGACACTCTGTCCCCATCAAAATCCCATCAAAATTCTTCACAGATCTGGAGAAGACAATAATCAACTTTATATGGAAAAATAAAAAACCCAGGATAGCCAAAACAATCTTATACAATAAAGGAACGTCTGGAGGCATTACCATCCCTGACTTCAAACTCTATTACAGAGCTACAGTATTAAAAACAGCTTGGTATTGGCATAAAAACAGAGAAGTCGACCAATGGAACCGTATAGAAGACCCTGACTTTAATCCACAAACCTATGAGCAACTGATTTTCGATAAAGGAGCTAAAACTATACAATGGAAAAAAGAGAGCATCTTCAACAAATTGTGCTGGCAAAACTGGATTTCAATCTGTACAAAAATGAAAATAGATCCATGTCTGTCACCATGCACAAAACTCAAGTCCAAGTGGATTAAAGACCTCAATATCAGTCTGAACACACTGAACCTGATAGGAGAGAAAGTGGGAACTACACTACAACAAGTGGGCACAGGAGACCGCTTCCTACGTATAACATCAGCAGCACAGACAGTAAGGGCCTCATTGAATAAATGGGACCTCATGAGACTGAGAAGCTTCTGTAAAGCAAAGGACACTGTCGCTAAGACAGAAAGGCAACCCACTGACTGGGAGAAGATCTTCACCAACCCCGCAACTGACAAAGGTCTGATCTCCAAAATATATAAAGAACTTAAGAAACTAGACTGTAAAAGGCTAATCAACCCAATTATAAAATGGGGCACTGAGCTGAACAGAGATCTCTCAACAGAAGAAGTTCAAATGGCCAAAAGACACCTAAGGTCATGCTCAACTTCCTTAGCGATCAGGGAAATGCAAATCAAGACAACTTTAAGATACCATCTTACACCTGTCAGAATGGCTAAAATCAAAAACACCAATGATAGCCTATGCTGGAGAGGTTGTGGAGAAAGGGGTACACTTATCCATTGCTGGTGGGAATGCAAACTTGTACAACCACTCTGGAAAGCAGTGTGGCGGTTTCTCAGAAAATTTGGGATCAACCTACCCATGGACCCAGCAATACCACTCTTGGGAATATACCCAAGAGAGGCCTTATCATGCAACAAAAATATATGCTCTACTATGTTCATAGCAGCATTGTTTGTAATAGCCAGAACCTGGAAACAACCTAGATGCCCCTCAATTGAAGAATGGATGAAGAAAGTATGGAATATATACATATTAGAGTACTACTCAGCAGTAAAAAACAAGGACTTCTTGAAGTTTGCAGGCAAATGGATGGAAATAGAAAACACTATCCTGAGTGAGGTAAGCCAGACCCAAAAAGAGGAACATGGGATGTTCTCACTCATATTTGGTTTCTAGCCATAAATAAAGGACATTGAGCCTACAATTCGGGTTCTTAGAGAAGCTAAAGAAGAAGGAGAACCCAAAGAAAAACATATAGGCATCCTCCTGAATATTAACCTTCATCAGGCGATGAAAGGAGACAGAGACAGAGACCCACATTGGAGCACCGGACTGAAATCTCAAGGTCCAAATCAGGAGCAGAAGGAGAGCGAACATGAGCAAGGAACTCAGGACCGCGAGGGGTGCACCCACACACTGAGACAATGGAGATGCTCTATCGGGAACTCACCAAGGCCAGCTGACCTGGGTCTGAAAAAGCCTGGGTTAAAACCGGTCTCACTGAACATAGCGGACAATGAGGACTACTGAGACATCAAGAACAGTGGCAATGGGTCTTTGATCCTACTGCATGTAGTGGCTTTGTGGGAGCCTAGGCAGTTTGGATGCTCACCTTACGAGACCTGGATGGAGGAGGGTTTTCCTCGGACTTCCCACGGGACGGAGAGCCCTGATTGCTCTTTGGGCTGAAGAGGGAGGGGGAACGGATTGGGGGAGGGGGAGGGAAAGGGGAGGCGGAGGTGGGGAAGAGACTGAAATATTTAATAAATAAATAAATAAAGGAAAAAAAAAAAAAATACTGACACTCTGGTGAGCTGGGGGTCACAAGGCACCTGTTTTGGATGTGTTTCTGGCTGATCGCAGGCTGCCCCCTGCCTCACCTCCTACCCCCGAGATGAGTCACAGGGCTCAGCCGCCTGCCCCACAGGAACAGGCTCCAGGCTCCAGGCTTTTGTTTCCTTTCGTCTTGCTTTATGCTGGTCATGTGATGCTCTGGGTATTAATAAACCTCAGCCTGGCTTTCTACAGCCTGCTGTTGCCCAGGGAGAAAATGAAAGGTTTGTGTTCCTCTTTTCACTGTCACGTGCTGATTGGTGGCTGAACTAAACCAGAAAGGCACGGAGAGCTGTGGTCACTCGGGAGGGACAGAGCGTCCACCCGGGTGTGTTTTGATGCCTTGACAGTCCGTGTCACTCTTGTTAGCCCCTGGCTTCTGAGTGTAGATCTGTAGCACTAAGCACAACACAGCAGCCTCACCTCTTCCTCCTCCTCCTCCTCCTCCTCCTCCTCCTCCTCCTCCTCCCCCTCCTCCTCCCCCTCCTCCTCCTCCTCTCCCTTCTCCTCCTTCTCCTCTTCCTCCTCCTCCTCCTCTGAGTCAAGAGGCCATGCCACCCCCTACACATGTCAAAGATACCAAACCCAGCAGGAAGACATTTGAGGTTTAAAACTCTTTTTTCCAATTTAAAGTAAAATTATGTTGAAGGAACTACGTCTATCTGTGGTTTGACAGGGGTCCAAAGGAGACAAAATGTTTAAATGAGGGCCTGGGACACGGAGGTGCCCTGAACCACTCAGGACATAGGTCCAAAGTTTGTCCTCCTCTGCAATCCTGCTTTTATTTTATTTTCTTGTGTTCTCATGTTGTTTTGTTTTGGCAGTGAAGAATTTGGGGGTTTACTCTGTTTCCTCCTTTTGCCTTGATTCCAGCATCCCATACTTTGTCATATCCGTTGAGGAAATCGGGCGGGGGCCTGGTCCGATGAAATGCTCTTGGAAAGCTTCCTAGGGCCAAGACTCTCCCGGTTGGTAGGATATTTGCTTGGGCATGCACAAAGGCTAGAATTTAATTTCCAGCGGCTTGTAAACCAAGCAAGGCAGGATGCACCAGTAATCCCAGCTCTAAAGAGATAGAGAACGAAGGATCGGAAGTTCAAGCTCATCCTTAGCTTTGTAGTAAGTCTGAGTCCAGCCCGGACTGTGTGAAGTCCTGTCGCGAAAACAAACAAACAAAAAATACTGAAAATTTTGTTCCAACTCAAAGGAGAGCCTTGTTAATTTTGTGATGGGAGAGTTAGGGTTCCATTGAGAATGTTCTCTAAGGGCAGAGTTCAAAAAATGAGGCGGGGGGGTGTCTCTTTTCTCTTTCCTCTTAGAATTAGAATATATTATAAAATATTAATTGCACATAATAAATTTAATTATGCTGTTGCCATATATGTAAATGATGTGTTTTGCTTTGTAGCCACCTCTGTTACTTCCCTTGTGTCTTGTCTTACTGGGGTCTTGGTTTTCAAAGTCCAGTGTACTAAGCCTGAGTCTGTGTGATTTTTCTTGGGGGCTTGATTTGTCTTCTGAAGAAATTCGTTGCTTAGCCATTACAGCAACCTTTTGGTGTGGTGTTTCTTTGAGACAGACAGTGTGTGCTCCCACTTTCCTATGTGGTGAAAATATAGCTGAGTCCTCTTGCAGGCTGTGAGATCGCTCATAGAGTTTAGAGTCTTTGTCAAAAATTTTTGTTCCATTTATTTATTGTGTGTGTGCATGCCTGTGTGTGGGCACATGTGTGGTGGTCAGAGAACAACTAACAGTTCTCTCCTTCTGTTATGTGCCTTTGGGGATCAAGTTCATGTCATCAGGCTTGACAGCAAGTATCTTCACCTGCTAAGCCATCTCCCCTACCCTGGTGGTACTCTTGAGCCTCACTTGATCCATCTGAGAAGTGGGTTGAACTAGATGATCTCGAAGAATCTTGTCATTTTATTTTTCAACACTCACATCTTTGGGGGTTTTGCTTGTTTGCTGGTTGGTTGATTTGATTTTTCAAGACAGGATTTTTCTGGGTAGCCCTGGCTGTCCTGGAACTCACTGTAACTCTAGTTCCAGGGATTCTGATGTCCTCTTCTGGCCTCCAGGGGCACCAGGCACACATATGGTACACTTACACACTTTTAAGCAAAACACTCCTACGTGTAAAATACATTTTAAATAAGACACCATCAAAGCTAGCAGATACGAGGGTTCTCCTTTCTGCCTCTGGGAAGAACAGACAGACACACTGTGCACCCCTCAGTTTCTCTTCCTTGCCATCTTTCTATAGAAATAAAATAAAATTTAAAAAAAGGTAAATGCAGCAAAGGAGTCTAGTCAGGCAGGTTTATTGAACATGAAAAAGCAAACGGTGTCTAGAAAAGAATCACCCCTTCCTTGGCTCAGGCACATGGCCCCAAACACAGGCTTCGCTGTGCCCTGAGAGCAGTGGGTGCCAGTGGATGGAAGTTCAAGCCAGGGCAAGAACAGTTCCCCCTGGGGGTGACTGTGCAGAACTCCTGTGCTCACGGGTCACGGGAGGTCCTGTTCCCTCCAGAATACTGTCAGCTCTCCTTTCCAGTAGACCAAATAGAATGGATTAGCCCTGGCCGAAGCCCAAACCCTTTATATATAAAAGAAAAAAGTCATTAAATATTCAACCTGATTCCTAGTGTTGAGTTACCACCATTTGTCTTTCATTGGGAGCATCTGCGTTTTATTGCCTGGTGGCCCTGCCTGCCATTTATCGCTCTCTCTCCCCTGTCAGTCTGTATCTGCGTGTCATGTGACTCAAAAGTGAAGATTAGAGGAGAAAAATATCTCTCTGTAGTCTAAGCCTGGCAACGTCTATTTTTACCCACAGCTGTTGGAACTGATAGCGAAGTCACAGCTCACATCCCTGAGTGGTATCGCCCAGAAGAACTTCATGAACATCTTGGAAAAAGTCGTGCTGAAAGGTGAGCTCTGCCGCCCTCTCTCAACCCTCCTGAGAGGTGTGGGAACAGGCAGGTGGGTTTTCTCATTGAGTAGCATGTCTCTAGATTTAAAGGAACGTGAGTGGATGGCAACAAACAATGTCAGCTGAATCCCAGGGGCCCTCGCTTCCAGCTCAGGAGAAAGGTACCACCCGTGCCCTTGGCAAAGAACAAGACCACTGCCTTCTTGTTCTCTCTTTAGAATCATGTTTGCCTTACTTTAGGTTTGACTGGCTCCTCGTTGAGGACATGTGCCCCACCCTTTACCTCGGAGCTTCGATATTCCTAGGACATGCAGCTGTGTGCAAGGCAGAACGGAGGCATGGACTGGACTAGCCATGACCTTAGACCCCTGGCTCCACTGAGTCATTTCACACATGGGGGGACTGATGTGTATGAGACATGAGTGTCCTGTGATCATCTAGAATTAGCCAGGCAGGGTTCGAACTCAACCTTCTGAACCCCCAAACTGCAGTCTTCCATTGGCCACCCAAAAGCATGTCAGCTGCTGAACAGAAAAGCCGCGTTCTGCTCAGGTGGACCGTCGGCACTGAATTGAAACAGGAGAGCTCTTTAGAAACCCAGGAGAAGAGAACAAAGAGGGACCTAGATAACGGAAACTCTACCCGTTACCTGAGTATAGAATAAACACGGGTGAGAAAGAAGGTGGCATCCTAAGAGACAGTGCACAGTCATAGGAGTAGACAACAAAGAAGAAAAGACCACTTGTTTCATGCATGGTCCCCATAACATGACTTTGATATTCCTTTTTCTTCTTCCCACTCAAGTCCTTGAGGACCAGCAAAACATAAGACTCATAAGGGAACTTCTCCAGACCCTCTACACGTCCTTATGCACACTGGTCCAGAGAGTTGGCAAGTCTGTGCTGGTGGGCAACATTAACATGTGGGTGTATCGGATGGAGACCATTCTACACTGGCAGCAGCAGCTGAGCAGCATCCAGATCACCAGGGTGAGTGCAAGCCCCCCACTCACCCCACCGTAGCTTCCCCTGCTCAGACACTGAGCAGAACTCCAGAGCATGACGTCCTCTCTAGTGATGCAGCAACAGGTTGCTTCTGATTTGATGCCTCGTCCTTGGGCTGAGGGTGGTAGGCGGTATGAGGGGCATCCCGATAAAGGGGGAGCGGGAAGAAGAACTTGGCAAAACAGGTGGAAGGGAATGTTAAAGATGACAGCCAACTGTAACACCATGCAGCAACAAAAAAATAAAAACAGAAACAAAACGGAGAACATAGCTGTCAGGGAAGGGATGTTGGCTGTCTGCTGAAGTCTTCAGTGGGGCTTCGGGGAGCTCTCTGCTCCTTTCCTCAAAAAGAATGAGCTGTTTGTGGACTGGGGACGCTGCCTTCAGTACAATAGAGCCCAGAAGACAGTGGCTTAGAGAGCTGGTACCACCAGCCTTTTAGAATCTCAGTCCTGTTTAATGGTAGTGATGACAAAGGACATTTGAACCAAGCCTGAACACACACGTAAGAAAATACTAACTGGACTCACTCAGAACCTGTACGTTACCAGCATAGGACTTCATATAGCAGGCATTTCTCTTGGCTTTCAGAATAAGAACTCACTGTGGGCTCCCATCCTATTAATGGCGATGGGGGCGAGAGACAAGGCGCTCATAGAACTGTGTGAATGTTGCTGGCGTAATCTCTTAGGGCTCACTAATGGACAGGCACACTCGGGAAGCTCACACAACACTTGGCTACTTATCTAATCACACACTGGGCTGGTTAAGTGGCTTCCGGGACCCACACAGTTTGGAACTGCAGCATGTATCAGGTGAAGGTGACACAGAGGAAACCCTGTGACTTATAAACAATTACCTTGCTGTATGACGTTTCCAGAGAGAACATTCTTTCTTCACGGTGAATGATTTTTCTGCCCCTTGGTTTCTTAAGATCTGAAGTGGAAGGAATAATTAGGAACCTCTCGTTACATAGCTTCCTTAGAGTTGTTTAGGTTCCAACAACCCCGCTTGTACACACCCACATGCTCATGTGCATGCACACACGTGCCCGTGCCTGCAAGCACACGCATGCAAAGAGCTGAGCAGAGCCCAAATGTAGGTCATCTTTCAGAAATGATCCCCATGGTTGGATTGTTATAAGAAGACTTAAGCATTTATTATGAACAGTATAATTTTAATAATTTATCCCAGGCTCCTCTCTGAAGTAGAGCAATAGCTTAGCCACATGCAGTTAAGAGCAGAATTCCATTCCTCAGTCCCAGAAAACTCACTTCAACCTGCTACCTGATTTCCAGCATTCTCTGTGCCCTGGACTGAATATTTCCCGTCTTATTCCCCAGAGACAATTCCCAGCCAGTGAAAGAAACTAACAAGGCTCGTTGCAAGGCTGTCTCCCCTCAAGCACCCTTGGAACTCCCATGTATGCCTGCCCTGAGCTATGCTCCCTCTGACCACCTCAGATGAGTTTGTATCCTACCCAGGTCTCCCATTCTTTGCGTTCCCATGACCTTACTTCCTTAAAGCCCTCCTTGGTTGCCCCCAAACACTCCTGAAAGGCAGCCATTGTAATTACTATTACCCTTCCATAGGCTGGTATTGAAGTGGGGACCAGAGGAGTCCAGGGTTCTTCCCAGCACTACACAACAGTTAGGTCAAAGTCAGAAGCTGGGACTGTCTATTCCTAAAATGGCAAAGCGTGCTTAACATCAGTGGTTTCCAAACTCTTCCCCGTCTAGTTTTCTTCCAACTATTTATCCACTGATTCAGCTTATTAAAAAAAAAACTTTTTAATCCAATGAAATCCTCTGCTTAAGAGGTCCAGCCCTGAAACTCATCCCCCCCCCCCCCCCCCCCCCCNCCCCCCCCCCCCCCCCCCCCCCCGCTAGCATATGCTTGGTGTGTTCCAGTGGAACCCCACACTCCTCTACACACCCTTCAGGGCCTCTGGCTCACAGTCTGCCGGGGTCATCCCATCTCTTACAGCCACTATCACAGTCTTCTTCAGAACAGTTCTGATCAGCCGGAAGGCTCTCATGCACATATATGTCTGTCTCCAGCCACTGCTTTACAGTCTCCAAAGGAGAAGACATTCATCTTGTGCGCCATACCTGGCTCAATCAGTGGATTTTAGCTGAAGAGATGAATATTGGTTTGAAGAGACAGCTCCCCACCAATCCGTGTGCTGAAGTACATGTTCGGGGTTCCGGGGAACATGAATGGAGAATATTGTCCTAGATTATGGGTGACAGTGGTAAATTATACCCACTGCAAGATTCAAACAGTTTACTCAGTCTCCTCATGCTTTTTCACTTTTCTCGTTTGGAAACGAGAGGCAGACATGCCCAGCTCTTTCCTATCCCCGTGTGAGATTGAACATAGGTGTGAGATTGCATAAACCAGCCTATGGACAGCAGCTGGAGCAGGGCCTGGTGTGTAGAAAGCATTATTATAGATGCATTAAGGTGTTGTGATCAAGGGCTTGCCTGTACACACACTGTAAGTCCTTCCCATGTGATAATTAACTTATCTCGTAATTAATTGTAATTAGGGTAAACGGCAGGAATTTACTGGGTCCTGTGCTAAGTACTTCTATGTATTAACTCATCTCTTATACCCAGCCCCCACTGAGAGATACTCATTTCCTTGTTTTGCAATTGAGAGGAAAGCATCCTCAGTCTCCACAGAGGGTGGATTCAGAGACACCCCAAGGTTAACGTGGATGCCATGGATGCTCAAGTATTTTGTATACAATGGCGTAGTGACTATGCTTAGCCCGCCTGCACCCTCCTCTGTCCTGCAAGTCATCTCTAGCCCAGTTCTAGTATATTATGGGATGCTATGTGCATAGGGCAGGAGGACAAGAAAGTCCTGTGAGTTCAGATGCATTTTTCTCCCGGTAGTTTCCATATGTGGCTCGTTGAATTCAAGGATGTAGAAGCCAAGTACATGGAGGGCAGAGTGGAACTGTGTTGGGGCCTCTATACCAGGATGTCTGGCATCAGACTCCAGAACAGTCTGCTCCTTTCCTGAACCCACTAGGGGGCTCTGAGTTGTGCTGTTCTGAGAGCTGTCAAGAAGAGCTTCCCACACAGATCCCCAACTGTTACGGGTCTTGTAGTCTCAGCACACTTGGGAAGTGGAGGCAGGAGAATGGGGAGTTCAAGGTCATCCTCAACTATAGAAAAAAAAATCTGAAACCAGCCTGGGCTATAAGATCCTGGGCGGGGGGCGGGGGGCAGATGAGGGAGTCGGGGGACAGTGAGGGAACAAGAACAGTCGAATCACTTCATTCTGGATGATAGTTCTGTGTTTCTCAGAAAGAAAAGAATATTAATCCGTGAAAATATTAAAACGCCTTTTGTAGTAAAAGCTTCCCTATCTGCCCACAATCTGCCACTGTTGTCTCGGCACATAACCTTGTTTGCCTTAGAAATCTTCATGTCTAATTCTTTCAAGCCAATTTTTATTTGTAAACGTAACTTATATAAGAATAAGGGATGAAGGATGAAATTAAGAGAACTGGTTTGCAGGGGGAAAATAAAATATAATTACAGTGCTGTGGGCAAAGCAATGTTTTGGAAAATGGGGGCTGGGGTAGACAAAATGGAGTTCAGCCAAATGCTTGGCTAAGGTTGCAAGAGTGACATATTTTCCCTTTTATATGTTTATATTCGAAAGGGAGAAGGCATGTAAGCAGTTAACCATTTATCAGGAATAAGGGCTTGGCACGAGGTCTGGGCAAGGGTTTTGGAAAAGTTCAGGTTTGAAAATCTGACAGAGCGAACTCTGCCAAGCCAACTTGCCTTTAATAGGAGTTAATGTAATAATTGGCCTGGGAGTTTTAACCAAAAAAGTAGAGGCTTTGAAGTGCTGGAAACAAAAAGAAAATCCCATGGCAGTTTTATTAGCTCATATGATCAACAGCAGATGATAAATGACAAATAGGTCTAGGGCTTTCTGCGGTCACACAAAGGCCTGAATGTTGCGAACCAATTGAGTTCAGCCCAACAGCCTGCGGTAGAAGTGAGCAGTAAAAATTGTCAAATCACAGACACTTCTGAAACAGGAGGCCTGAGTCACTCCAGGCCTGCGATCATTAGGGCTAGAGGAATCTTCAGTATTCTAAACACAGTCTTTGGGAGCTGGGGAAACTGAGGCCCAGACTTCCCAGGATGCTGTCTGCCCCCATCACATTCCTCCCTTGCCACATCCATTCTCCTCAGCAGCTCCCATTAAGTCCTCCTTCTGCGGCCTATCGTCCCATCAGTTTATGTCCTGCCTACCAGGGGACTCAGGTGATTGACAAGATCAAATGGAACTTGGCATCATCCCGATGAGGTTGGTACCAAGTAGTCCCTGGAGTCCCCATGTGTTTGGGCTTTGCTGTGCTTCCTACAGGTTCTGCCCCAGAAATTTGATGAGAAAAATAATCCCTATTATTATTTTTCCTCTGTGCCTGTCCAGTAAGCGCCCCAAGGGCTGTTTGTGCTGGATTAGTCTCCAAGGCCTACAAGCTAGGTCCTGCCTTTAAGGATATAGGTCTAGGTGAGGTATCTTGAGATGATCAAATTGTAAAATAAGAAAGGGCTTGAATATAAGTTTGAGGCTATAGTGGAAGTTCCTTCAGAAGCTCAAGGTTGATTGCAGGTGTGTATTATATGTAAATAAACAGTTTTTAAAACATCCCCTGGAGGGGGCTGGAGAGATGGCTCAGTGGTTAAGAGCATTGCCTGCTCTTCCAAAGGTCCTGAGTTCAATTTTCAGCAACCACATGGTGGCTCACAACCATCTGTAATGAGGTCTGGTGCCCTCTTCTGGCCTGCAGACATACACACAGACAGAATATTGTATGCATAATAAATAAATAAAATATTTTTTTTAAAAATCCCCTGGAGGGGCTAGAGAGATCACTCAGCAGTCGAGAGTTCTGTTCCCACCACCCACATGGTGGCTCACAACCATCTGTAACTCTAGTTCCAGAGGACCCAATACCTTCTGATCTCCATGGGCATCAAGTGCACATGTGGTGTACATACATACATACATGCAGGCAAAACACTCATATTTTTTGGATAAATTTAAAAATTTTTTAAATTAAATGTTCCCTGGTGTCCTCAGTTACAATGGAGCTTAGCTCAAAGGTTTTGGGGCCAGCCATTCCCAGTGTGTGCACAAACATATACACACAAACACAAATGCACAAGCATACGTATTTATAAATGCAAACAAACATACACAAACCCACACAGATGCATATAAGTACATCCATATAGTCCTGTAAACACACATACCACACACACACAAACACATGCACAAGGTCTTTGTGTTATTCTTTTTTTTCCTGTTCAACTATTTGGATTTAATCCATTACACTAATATTTACTGAGTGCTTATGATGTGCCAAACATTGTAGACACCAGGACACAACAGTGAAACAAAGCCAACCCCCTGTTGTCAAGGACCTTAGGTTCTGAAAGCAATGCTCCATTCAGCCTTTCTTAAGGAAGGAGTTGTGCAGAAAGGAGGGGGGTTGCAGACAGTCACTGAGGGAGCTCCTAGGAGTTCTAAGAAGGCACAGTGAAGGAGACCTAAGGGGGGTGGGGGTGGGAGGGAATACACAGATAGTAAAGGTCAAATGAAATGGTTGAGTTCTGATTTTCTTTGTTGGGTATTTGGTTCTTGGTTTTTGGAGACAGGGTCTCTCTATGTAGCCCTGGCTGTCCTAGAACTTGTTATGTTGACCAAGCTGGCCATGAGCACACACATATCCTCCTCTCTCTACCTCCCAAATGCTGGGATTAAAGGTGAGGACCACCATACCCAGTGGCAATGGGTTTGAAGTGGGTTTGAGAGACAAGAGAAGGAAGGCCAGGTGGGTGAGGGCATTGTGCATAGGTAAGCAAGATATGGTTTGGGTGCCAGAGAGTGCACTGAAGTGGACTGACCTGAAATCACAGAGGACAGTGAGATGGAAGGCCAGGTGACTCCCTGGGCCACCCATCAGGGCGGTGGCACTTTTGGAAGGCAGTGAGTCTTGAAGTTGAATAGTGAGGCTAACAAAGCACAAAATCCAATGTGCTCCCATGCTCCGGTGGGTGGCCCCACATCGTGCACACATGGGCCGCACTAATTGGACTTAGAGAGCTATCCAGGCAAACAAACAAACAAACATGAGGGGCTCGAGAGATGGCTCAGTGGTTAAGAGTCCTTGTTGCTCTTGCAGAGGATCTGGGTTTAGTTCCTAGCACCCACATGACAGCTCGTAACCATCCATAACTGCAGTTCCGATGGATTCAACACCCTCCTCTGACCTCTGCAGTGCAAGGCATGGTGCATTTACAGACAAACACTCATACACATATAAGAAAAATTAATCTTTTAAAAGGACTTGAAGTTGAGAGGAACCTGTTGGGTGCAGGGGGGTTAGAAGAGGGAAATGGGGTAGATAGTATCATATGTCACTGTTTACTTATAAGAAAACTTCAGAAATAAAGAAAAATATAGCAGAGTGATGGTGGTGATGCACACCTTTGATCCCAGCCCTTGGGGGGCAGAAGCAGGTGGGTTTCTTGAGTTTGAGGCTAGCCTAGTCTACAAAGTGAGTTCCAGGACAGCCAAGGAATACAGAGAAACCCTCTCAGAAAAAGAAAAATATAATAAAAAGAGTCCAACATATGCTGTTTTGGGAGTCTTTTTAGAGCAGAAGGTTGCAAGGACAGGGAAAGCCTGCAGCCTGCAGGCTGCAATCAGCCAAGACACTCCTGGCTGTCCTCTGGAGGCTCTGCTTCTACCGGCTTCTACCTGTTGGACCGGGAGCATCACAGCTTTGGGAATCTAGCTGTTGATAAGCCAGCTTGAGATTGCAGGATCTGGTGACCGTGGCATTCTGGGAGCAAGTTATGGCAAGAAAATGGCTCTTCTCTAACACCCGGCTTATCATCTGGCCTTCTCTCTGCAGCCTGCCTTCAAAGGCCTCACCTTCACGGATCTGCCTGTGTGCTTGCAACTGAACATCATGCAGAGGCTGAGTGATGGGCGGGACCTAGTCAGCCTGGGCCAGGCAGCCCCAGACCTTCTTGTGCTCAGTGAGGACCGGCTGCTGTGGAAGAGACTCTGCCAGTACCACTTCTCAGAACGACAGGTCAGTGAAGCCCAGTGGCCTGCTCTTCGTGCTCCCTGATCTACCCTGAAAAGGCCCATCCTTCGCTGGCATGAAGCAGGACTGCCTGCCTCCTAGAATGCCTGGTTTACTAGAAAGCCACAGTTTAAGACCATGGTTCTCAACCTTCCTAATGCTTTGAGCCTCATGTTGTGGTAGACCCCAACCATAAAATTATTTTCCTTGCTCCTACCCAGTTGTCATTTTGCTACTGTTATGAATCACAGCATACACATCTGTGTTTTCCAGTGGTCTTAGGTGACCACTGGTCTAAGACATTCCTAAGTCAATGTGTGGTTTTTTGCTTTTTGGTTCCTTGTCATTGTCACCCTTGTCTTGATAAGAGAAAGATAAATCCTTATACCAAATTACATTTTATGGCTCACACAAAATTTTCACAAATCGGTATTGCCTCTTTTCTTTAAAAAAAAAAAAGACCTTTTTATGGTGCTTTTATATTCAAGCACTTTTATGAAGAGTGTTTCCTTTCACCCTCCCCACCCAGGAAGGGTAGATATTATCATGCCCCCTTCAAACAGGTGAAGAGACCAAGGCCACAATGACCAACTGGTGTATTCAGATTAGTGAAATGACCCTTAGGCTGAGACAGCTGACCCTACTTTTGAATTGGGCCCGAGGACACCCTAGGGTGCCCTATAAACCTGTTCCTCATCCAGGGTTGTTTTACCAATTTCTTCATTGGTACCTGTTGCATTAATTCAACAGGTTCTTTTCATGAAGCCATTGATACTTAAACATAAAATAGAGCCATGACGCTAGTGACTGAGCCTTCCTAGAAATAATTGTCCAGGTCGACAGCGAAGAAAAATGGCTTATGGGAGCTGCCTAAGCTTTGACCAGTCGGGAGCACTGCACTCAACCACTAGGAAAGTGTAGTTCCCTGTTTCTTCTGAAAGCTGGTTAAACAGCGCCCAGTAAGCAGGAGAGCTAAGAAAGCTGCTTTCCAACTTGACAGCTTTCTTTCCCGGGCCTTTCTAGGGTCCCTGTAAAAACGTGGGGGGAAGAGTGGGAGCAGATTTTCGGAACCAGAAAACCCCAAACTGTCCTCTTGGTGGACTCTCTGTAAATTACTTTTCTCCGTTTGCTTTTCAGATCCGCAAGCGATTAATCTTGTCGGACAAAGGACAGCTGGATTGGAAGAAGATGTATTTTAAGCTGATCCGATGTTACCCAAGGAGAGAGCAGTATGGGGACACCCTGCAGCTCTGCAGACACTGCCACATCCTTTCCTGGAAGGTATGCGCCTGCGCTGGCTAGGGTTCTGTCAGCTTGACACAAGCTAGCGTCCTTTTGGAAAAGGGAGCCACAGTTCATTAAATGCCCCCCACAAAATTGGCCTGTGGGCAAGTCTGTGTGGCATTTTCTCAATTGGTAATTGAGGTGGAAGGGCCCAGCTGACTGAGCAGGGCTACTGCCGGGCTTCGGTAACGAAGTTGGCCATGCAAGCTGAAGAGCAAGCCTTTAAGCAACACTCTCCATGGCCTGTGTTTCAGTCTCTGCCTCCAGCCCTGTCAGCAATGTGAGGCCAGCTCTTCCCAGTTCTTTCCTATCTCAGCCCTCCACCTAAGAGGAGAGAGAAACTCATTCAGCACTTAGACAGGGAAGAGCAACTGCAAGGCCTTCATTTCCCTTCATTTCTTCCAACCCTTATGTTGATTTGTCTCTGAAACCCGCTTACCACATATTCTATCTTTGTGTGCACAGGGAAACACATAGGCAAACACGAATTCTTCAGCTTCTCAGTGCTGTGGAATCCCTTTGGAGGGGAGGGATAGTATGTGCAGATGTGTTTGTGTATGCACGTGTGTGTGTGTGCACATATGAGCCCATGTGTATGGAGGCCTGAGGTCACAGTCTCCTTTTTCATCAGTAGCTCACCACCTTAAAAAAAAAAAGAACCTGAACTCACCAGATTGGCTAGACTAGTCAGCCAATGAGCTCCAGGGCCCCATCTGCTCTGCTTCACCCCCAGTGCTAGGGTTACAGGATGCCCGCCTCCATGCCCAGCTTTCATGTGGGTACTGGGAATCCAAACACAGGTCCTCACGGTCACATACCAGCCACTCCACTCGCCCCCTGAATTCAGTGGCATTCTTTTGCTTCTAAGATTTATTGGCCTTTTTAATCATAAACATGCATACATGTTTCTGTGTGGTTATGTGCATATGAGAGCTGTGCCTGCAGAGGCTGGAAGATGGTGTCGGGTACCTTGGAGCTGAAGCTACAGGTGGTTGTGAGCCACTTGACCCACATACAAGAACAGAACTTGGGTCCTCAGCAAGAGCAGTACCTGCTCTTAACCGCTGAACCACCTCTCCAGCCCCTGTAGTGGCATTCTTGACAGAGTTGCTAAGAGATTGGGCAAGGCCCGAGAGAGCCAGGGAGCTGCCCCTGAAAACTCGGATCTAACCATGATGCTGTTTTCAGGGCACTGACCACCCGTGCACAGCCAACAACCCAGAGAGCTGCTCGGTCTCACTCTCCCCGCAGGACTTCATCAACTTGTTCAAGTTCTGAATCCCACCTCTTGACGGCACTTCACAAGCCAACCCACCCACTCCCCGCTGATCGGATGGCTGGGAATTCGGAGACTTCCTTTGTAAATAGTGTACATTGTAAGCACTGGCTTGAAACTTGTGAGCGAAGTCACTGAGAAGACGTTGGAGGGAAGGGACGAAGCTGCCGATGGGAACTTACAAATGTGAACTGCACACTAGAACTGGTACGGAAATGCGGAAATACTGTAAATAGACTTTTTCTTTTCCCCTAAGAATTTGCCAGCGAGACTCTAAGGGCGAGAACTCTATGTCTGCCGTGGAAAACGGAGTCCTCCTGATGTTCATGGAAACTTCCTAGTTCCCTAGGAGGGAAAAAAAGACGCAAAACTCAAATACCAGACAGAACACTCTGTTTACAATGTGATGGTGTTGTTAAGACAAAATGAGGAAGAAGGAGAATGAATGCTACAACTGAGGAAGCCTTGGGCTTTGGGTTTGGATTTGGGATTTGTTGAACAGGCGAAGAAGTCCACCCATCGGACACCTCCGCAGGCATAAGGCCTTATCCTACGAAGATGCCACACAATGGTCTACCTCTGAAAGCGTAGCTTGCTCTCTGGCAGCGTGCACTATCTATCAGGCAATGTCTGTGTTTCATGTAAGTTCTTTCATCTGTAAAGAGATCTGAGATGGGAAGGCTATTAGAAACAACCCTCTTCTTGGTTCTGACTCCCCTTCCCCTCTTTGCTCCCAGTCTACACCTTCTTTCTTTCCGTGTTGTAGCTCATGTACGGAACCAGAGGGCCAGCCTAAGAACAGCTCCAGCAGAAGTCACGAAGAACTAGAATTGGGCACCTGTAGATGGTGGCGTGGCGCTTCTGATTTAACTCTACTCTCCTCTAGCTTAACTTCTGGGCTTGTCTGGTCTTCCATGGGTGTCGTCATGGATTAGTGAATGTCTGTGAACTTAGTGGAGTCTAAGAACTGAGGCTTGGGAGAGACATTTTTCACACCAGCCAATTAAGCATTCTGATAGCTGCTGCTTCCTCTTGGCGGGGTGTTGAGCTGAGGCTCTTTCTGTTCTTTAGGTTTAGCATCGAACTTGAGTCATCCTGAATGGGGACTTTTCACATGTGTGATTTAAAAGAAAGCCTGGAGTTCCAGCTAGATAGGGAGCTGAGTTCATCTTAAGCTTGTTTCGGGACTGAGTTAAAACAAAGAGAGGCAAAAGACAAAGGATCCCAGGGGGTCTTGCAAAGCAGAGATATGAACACTGTGGAAGAAAGCAAATCTCAGGACTTCAGGAGTTAATTCCTGGGGTGGGGGAAATGTTATTTTTTACTTTTTATAGATTGTTGCTTTTCTACAATGTACATATATTTGCAGTTGTATTTGCTTTTTTTAAAAAAAAAATCTCCAAATAAAACCACCACTATGCACGTCCTTGGTAAATAATCAGAAGTAGGAATGTGTCCACATAGATGTTAAGTGAAGGATTGTGTAACCTGAAGCATTGATGCTTGGGGTGATCCTCGAAGGAAAGGAAAGGTGACCGAGCATACATAGAAACAAGGGACAGTCAACACCTCTGCCTTCAGTAATAGAGTACGCTCAGGTCAGTGCCACGTGGGCAGATGAAGTCTGCAGGGTTCCCTAGTTTGCAGTATCTGTACTTACACCAAAAGTTCTCCATATTTCCTTCTTCCTTGAGGGGGAAATTAAGTTGAATTCAGAGGCCTGTAATGAGGAAAGGGAACTGTAAAAGAACAAGATTTGATGTATAAAGCTGAACTTTAGAGACTACAAACCTGTAACAGCTAGGAGTTTTCCTATTTGGTTTTGTGGGTTTTTTAGTTTTTTGCTTTTTTTTTTTTTAACTCTTCTCCCCAGAATTATTTTTACATTAAGATTTACATTAAGGGCTTAGACTAGGAAAGAAAAGAAAGGAAAGGAAAGGAAAGGAAAGGAAAGGAAAGGAAAGGAAAGGAAAGGAAAGGAAAGGAAAGGAAAGGAAAGGAAAAAAAGAAGGAAGGAAGGAAGACATTTTTTCCATAACTGTCAGACTCTACTATACCTCACCTTCTGTAAGTGGGGTGGAGCTGGGTCTGCCATTGCTATGGAAAGCTCTGGAAACAGTGACTCTAAGTGACACTGTTAAGGTTAGGGGATCATGGCCTTTCACATGTTCTTATCAGCTTGTTACCACCGCTTTGTCAACTTGTTTAGAGATGGAAAGTTGTTGGGACCTTGGGGTTTATTTACAGTTCCAGCAACTTTGCCTGCTTTGAACTGCCAGCAGAAAACTGGCGAGCCAGTCTCGTGGAGTGCCAACAATGCACAAGGCATACATCCTACATGCCCCAGGCAACCATCTGTCTCTGTGTAAAATGACCCTGACCCCAAGCAGTGAGGTCCCAGCTTTTTGAAATGTTGGCTAGGTGCCTGCAGATCCTCCATGAACCTTGGTGTCATTGGATATGGTATGCGACACAGCCCAAGAATTGATTTCAAAGGGAAAAGGAGCATGTATGGGTCACTTTCATTGGTTAGTAGAAAATAGGAAGGATTGGCAGGTGGAGAGGGAGTGGGGGAGGAGTAGTAATGGATCATCTTTGATGTCGTGTAGCAGGAGGAGCAATGGAGAGAAGAGCAGGCAAGATATCCATATTAGGGCATGGCCAGAGCCTCACATACAAGTGACGGGACTTAAAAAGTTTTGCTCCTAGAACAGGAATAAGTCTATAGAATTCCTCCTGGCAAACCCACCCAGGACTCCCAGACCTAAGACACAAAAACCTGGCCCAAGCTGCTACAAAAGTGAGAGGGGCGTGGATATAGAAATTGCTGGAAGAATTTTTTTCCAACACAAAGAAGAAATCTGTTTTCTCTCTCCTACTGTACCCTCCTGTCCCTCCTCTGCATGTTGTAAAACAGAACTTGAGTAATGCCCACTCTGAAGTCGTTCAGGCAGCAAGAGAGGGAAAAGGTTCTTTCCAAGTCATATGAGCAAACCCAGGGAGATGGTGAATCAAAACTTACTTAAGAACAATCAGCTGAGAGTCTCTGAAGAGAGAGAACCATTCCATATAGAGTTTAGGAATGCTCCTTTTAAAGCAAGAGCCAGTAAAAAAAAAAAAAAATCAGCCCAGTGATACTGCCAACTAGCTCGGGTCATTACTCAGCGCGGTTGAGTGGACAGGTGTGTCAGTCGAATGGGGGAGAAAGGGTGGCAGAAAGGATCCGAAGCCACAAGGTGGGATCCCGAGCCCATCAGCTGGGAGAACTTTCTGACTAGTAATGACCAGTTTCAGGTGGAAGTGGTCTGGATAAGATACTTGCGCTGCAAAAGTTCTCAGCTGACGATCCCATCTCCTTGTGACCGTGAAGCCAGCTGGTGGGTGGCTCATCCCTGTGGCCTCACAACGTGAGGAGGCTGCTCTTGACACAGATGCCTTATTTTTATTGTTTACCGTGGAAGAGAAAAGGTTGGGAATTTGGTTTGTCTAAGCAGTTGGTATGATTCACAGAGAGAGAAGGAGAGAGAAGTCGCCGCAGGAGACGTTTAGGGGTATATGGTTCTCGGCGTTGGAAACAATGTTTATTATAAAACACGCACCTGGGTTTATATTTTTCTGCCTGGATGTGGGGCAATAACATCTTGCTGTGCAAACACTCTAAATTTTATGTGTGAATTTTTGACTGTAATTTTATGTGTGCATTTTTTAACTAAACTCTATCATTTTCTATGTTGACATCTGTTGTTGTTTTTTTTTTAATCTGTTTCCAACTATCTGAGCCTGTGAACCATCTCTTCTGACTGGATGCTGGCTTGAAACCCGTTAGTGCTTAAACAGACTTAGAAACACCCCGAACCTCTGGGCAAACGCAGGGATGTTACTCTTTGATGTATAATGGGCCATCTATGGCTCAACAAACAAGGTAGTAATTCTTCTAAAGTCCTATGTTTTCTGTCAATGTTTTCTTCTCTGCTTTGCTGAAACAGAAAATAACAAAACCACCTTTGGTTTTCTAAATGAAGGAGATTCCCATCCCAGAATTTAGACCAAGGAGGGTTGTTAGAGAGGATGCAATCTGACGTTTCTGCCTTTCAAGATGCGGAAGCCTTTCCAGAACTGGGGGACTGGGAGGAGGGTGGTCTTCCTCTGCATCCCTTGGGAAGTCAACAGAGTTGAACAGAGACCTGAAGCTTCCTGATGCCAGAGCTGTGAGTCCTAAGCACCTTGTGGGTATCCGTAGATTCATGACACTCGGTATGATTCTTCCAAAGCCCCTCACTTTGGGAGGCCATCCCACGATGGGGGTCTGCCACCAAGTCTTCCAAACCTTCTAAGGCTGGTTCTTATCAGATAAGCTAAGACATCCCTTTTGGTTTTCACACCCTCTCATTCTGCTGCTACCACGGCATTCCACTGAGCACAGCTGCTTAGTAGGAAGCAACTAGCATGCCTGGTGTGTGGTGCATACCTGTAAGCTGCAGAGGCGGGATAACTGGACTTGTTTCAAAAACAGCCGGAAGCAGATGGCATGCTTTGACAAATTCGTCCTTTCCCTTGGGTTTTTACAGCATGCCCTTATAGGAATAAATACAGGGTCCTGGGGAGTTGGCTGGTTGATAAAGTGCCTGCTATGGAAGCTTGGGGACCTGAGTTCCCCATCAAATGAATTCCTTGTCAAAACCAAGAATGAACTTTAGTGCATGGGGAGTTGATGGGCCAGCCAGTTTAAAGAATCAAGTGATACCCAGGCTCAGTGAGAGACCCTGCCTCAAAAAGAAAAGTGGACAGAGATCCAGGAAGATGCCCAATATCTGCCCTGACCTCTAAATGCCTATGCAAGTGCACACACATACAGGCATACTAGCATGCATGCATGTATACATGTGCACACGCACACACACGTGCATGCATGCATGTGCAAATATACACAAAAGAATAGCTAAGTGTTGACCTTGCTCCTGCTGGTACCCCTGAAATGGAAAGGTACATTTAAGCCATCCATCCTCCTTCCTGTTCCTCTTACCGATGATCCCCACTATAAGATCCAGTGAGGTTCTATCTGGTGGGAGTTCATTCTGTTCGACCTTGTTTGCATTTAGCAGAATTTAACCCATAAGGCAAGGGATGGTGATAGCCATGATTTTTGTCTGGTACGCCTTTTTCAAAGTGTCCTTGACTTCAGCTAGCAAAGCTTCTTGAGAAAGCTCTCTAAACTTAGTCCCTCTCCAATTGGCTGGAAATGGATGGCTGGCTACATCCGAACACCAAATTTTTGGATGCTCTGGATGCTTCAGCATTACTGAATATGACTCTGTCTGTGAGTATAATAGACACATTTGTTAACTGTGCGCAAGGCTGTTTGACAGATGGCTCCAATCCCTGCTCCATATTTGGGGAGCCTTTGGTGTCGTCTTTTATACTACCAAATGCCAGTCACGCTGGCTAAAGAGTGTATATTATAGTCCGTGTCTAAGCTTAGACGCTTTAAGTGTACTTTTTAAAGAAGAATATTAGAGTGGGTGGAATGTTTTAACTAAATGTATAAGGTTAGACGGATTACATGCAAAACTGATTGTTCAATATTAAATAATCTGAGTCCTGTATAACTTATTTGCACACCTTTCCTGCATGATGAACGGACTTTTTTTAATAGTTGTTTGTACCAGACAGTGGCATATTTTTGTAAACATTTTTTGACACTGAGTTTCAATAAATGTTTTTCCAACAATGCACCCTGGTATATTTTTTAGTGTGTGTCAGTTCCGTTTGGCTTATTATTTTATGCACCTGGGTTTATATTTTTATGTGTATCTTTTGTCTTCGAGACTGACATTCCGACTCCCAGAACTTTGTTACTACAGTGATAAAGTTCCCAGGGAATGCATAGAAAAAATAAGCTCGTGGTTGAATACCAACCAGAGTCCAAACTACACTGTTATGTATAAATGGGATATTTCCATGTATTGATGATTGTATTGTATTGTAGAATGACTGGGAGAAAATGAATTCTGAAGTCATCATCACTTATTCACCAACAAACACAGAACAGTTACTGTTTGCTAGATCTGTGCAAAACACTGAGAACAGACATGATCTCTGCCTTGATGGATTTCAGGTTCTAACCAGAAGGATAAGCATCCCCAAGAAAATATAGCAAGTAAATAGAAGTCGTTTGCAACGTGTGATCTGAAGGGAATCATAAAGCACTGTTCAAGGCAAGCTCAGCAGAGGCCTCTCCGAGGGTGCGATGCTGAGCTGTTACCCTGCCTCAGAAGGAAAGTTAAAGTGTTTCAGAAAGCAAGAGGTTAGAACCACAGACCCAGCTCTGACCTGCAAGGTGGCTTTTCACACCTTTCTATAGCTCTCTCTGTTGCAGTCTCTAAGGTGTCAATAGTAAGATATCAATGCAAGAAACACAGTTCTGGGGGTTGGAGGGATGGCTCAGTGGTTAAGAGCACTGATTGCCCTTCCAAAGGTCCTGAGTTCAATTCAATTCCCAGCAACCACATGGTGGCTCACAACCATCTGTAATGACATTTAGTGCCCTCTTCTGGCCTGCAAGCACACATGTAGGCAAAGAACTGTATACATAATAAATAAATAAAATCGTAAAACAAATAAAAAGATTAAACAACAACACAGTTCTGACCTCAAAGGAGGTGAGTTTATTGTGAACCAAGGTGACCATAGCCCAGGAACAGATTTAGTTTACTCCAAATTCCACGTTCCAGTGTGAAGTTTCTGTGCTCATAGAAGTCATGTGTCAACCCATTTTTCAAATACATTGAAATCAGGAAGGTGGGTTAGAGCAAAGTGGGGAGATTCCCATTACAGGCTTCAGACGCTGTCTGCTGGCATTCCTAGTTTCCGGATTGGTAGACGCTGCGAGAGTCCCTTCCTACATTCCAAAGGGCTTACCTAACGCTCACAAGGGTGTTAGGTCACATACAGCAGTGGGTAGTGGACGATCATTAAAGAAGCTAAAGATAGCATTAAAAATGCCTGGGAACTTGCAACCTTCTAACCTCCCCACATGGGGGAAGTTCTGATCGATCTGCCTTGTGGTCCTGCTTCTCTCCAGGGCTCTCGTCTATGGCACCTGTTTCTCACAGGTGAGAAATATGCAAGATGCTTTCCTCATTGTTGTGAGCAAATATCTGAGCAGAGCAACTTAAGGTGAGAGGGGCTTGTGTCAGCTTACGCTTCAGGAAGGGATTCAGTCCCTCACGCCAGGACGGGCATGCATAAGCATGCGACAGCTGGAAAACAGCAGGGATGACCCGGGGCCAGGCCTTAAGGCCATCCCTAGTGACCCACTTCCTCCAGCCAGGGTCTATCACCTGTACAAAACACCAGCAGCAACTGCGGACCCAAGAGTTCAAACACCTGAGCCCACAGGGGACAGTTCACATTCAAGACACAATGAAACTTACCAAAGTAGTATATGCAAAGTTCCTGGGGCCTTATAGTAATAGGAATTCGAGAGATATTACCAGATATTATTATTCACTGAACAATAAGAGTTTAAGAACTGAGTTGGGGACTCTCGTTCAGTTTCCTGTGGCTTGCTTGGGATCCCTACCAGTGGATCTTGTAGTTGATATTTTTAACTCTGAAATGTAGCCCAGTCCTGCCACAATTCTGCTTCAAAATTTTGACGTAAAAAGTACAATTAGATAGAGAATCACATTAGGTGGTGGTGGCGCACGCCTTTAATCCCAGCACTCGGGCGACAGAGGCTGGAAGATGTCTGTGAGTTCGAGGCTAGCCTGGTCTACAACAGCTAGTTCCAGGAGAGGCCCCAAAGCTACTGTCTCAAAAAATCAAAATAGGAGGAGGAGAAGGAGGAGGAGGAGGAGGAGGAACAGGAGGAGGAGGAGGAGGAAGAGGAGGAGGAGGAGGAGAAAGGGCAGTCAGTAGCTCTGCAGTTAAAGCATTGGCTGAACAAGACACTGGGGTTCAGATTCCTAGAACCCACATGACTGCCAAATGAGCACAAAGGTTCACCTGTAATTCTAGCCTCAGACAGTGGAGACAGAACATACTAATAAAGTCTGGGCATGATTAATAAGATATACTGATTTAATGAACACTTGATCTAAGTGCAAATACAGGAAGATGGAGAAGCATCAGTAGAGGTATTTAAGGGATAAAATGTTTTTCTTTAATGATATGTATATTAAAATAGAGATATAGATAAATATATATAAAGAGAGCAGCCAGTAAGATGGCCCAGTACTGGCCACCATGCCTGACAACCTGAGTTCGATCCTAGGATTCACGTGGTGGAAGAGGAAAACCAATTCCTGCAAATTATCCATGCACATGTGCACATAACATGTGCTAAAGAAATAATCTTTAAAGATCATTTACTTGTGTATTTTTTTTTGTACATGTACAGAGACAGCCCGTCGCTAGTCTCTTGCAGCACCTGACTCAGACAGCCTCCTAGAAAGAGCAGGAGGATGAGGACAGTCTGAAGGAGGCTTCTCAGGGCACAGAGGCCAGGAGGAAAAGGCAGAGGGGGAGCGGAATCTAGTGGCTATAAGAGGCTCTCAGCTAACCACCACATCCTGAGAAATCATACTTGCCAGGTGCCATCGAGTGTGACAACAGAGTCATTCTCCGCCCACATGAAAGTGTGTGCGGCTCACCCTTCCTGCACTTCCCAAACTTGCCTTCGACTGTTTTCCTTATATTTTACTAGCCAGCCTTTTCTGTGCTTCAGAACCATTCTGCACAGCCCCTGATTCCTTCTAAGAGGCAACAGAGCATCAAAAGCACAGACAGTAGAGCTAGCCTGTGCCTCTAGTTGCAGTGGACAGTGTGCAAGACCTTGATGTACCTCAGTTCTCACCTGCATAGTGGGTGGGACAACAGCGTCTGTGACCTGAGTTGGTGTGGTAAGATGCAAGTGTGTGGTTATCCAACTTGGAGTATGTTTCACAGAAGCACCCATTTTTATTCCTGAGGTCTCTGGTTAGTCTTATGGGCCTAGGAAATGACAGACAGCACATGACCCCCATGGTGTAGTCTCTGTGTATTGTTTAAACCAGTGACATCAGCCATTTCATCAGAAAACATCTTTTTTAAGATTACACCAAATTTATGTCTCAAGAGCTAAAAAGTTGCCAGATCTTACCTGAAAGTCATTGGGGGAAAGAACGAGACTTGGAAAGGGCCCTATGATTGAGATGGGACCCAACACTTTAGAAAAAAAAAAAAAAAAGACAGCAAGAAAGCTATGGTGCACCGCACTGAGGGGAAGGAGAGAAGAAAGCTATGGTGCACCGCACTGAGGGGAAGGAGAGAAGAAAGCTATGGTGCACAGCACTGAGGGGGTAGGAGAGAAGCATTAAGGCAGGAGAGCTGCGAGTTTGAAGCCACCCCGGCAAGATCCTGTCTCAGAGAAAACAAACTGGTTCCTGTGATCCTCCACCCAGGCACTCAGGCAGCTGGAGCAGGAGAGTGACAGCAGAGCAAACCTGATGTGAAAATCTGAACAAAGAAACAAAAAGACAGCCAGTCATAGTTGAGAGCCCTATGTACTCACGGCGTGAAGCTAGCTATATATAAAGCAATATATACAGTAGTCTACGGTCTAATAGTGAGGAAAAAAGTATCACATTTTCACTCATATTCAGAAGCTAGATTGAACAGTGTGTGTCTGTGTGTGTGTGTGTGTGCACACGCATGCGCACACACACATGCATGTTGAAAACAGAAGGGGAACTATGGAGGAAAGGAGGTGAAGGAGTGAAGGAAGAACAAGGACAGATAATAGAGGGTAAATAAGTCCATATATGTATATGTGCATGTATATACATATATCTATGTATTAGGCAGATTGTATATATAAAATGTCATAATGAGACCTACTATTTGTATGCTAACCAAAAAGTTTAAAAAAAATCAATATTCTACAATTAGGTATGTACATGGTATAGGATAGAAGCAATGACATCTAATGCGCGTCTTGAATCAGTTTTTCTGCACCTGTCCTCATACACAAAACGGGGTGAAAGTAGCATGTACTCACAGGATAGTTGGGGGAATGGGAAAAGCACCTAGCCAGGCATGGTACATACACCTTTAATCCAGGCACTGAGAAGCAGAGGCCTGCAGATTTCTGTGAATTCAAGGACAGTCTGGTCTATATAGTGAGCTCTAGGACAGTCAGAGCTATATAGAAATACTCTGTCTCAAACAACAACAACAACACACACAACAGAGCAGGAGGGGAGGGAGACAAACAGATAGGCACCTAACATAGTAAACTGAAAAGTCGATTAATACTGCAGTCGTTCACTTTAGTGTTGGGGTGGTGAGGCACTAGCCTAAGCATGATGCTTGATCCTTAGAGTCTGCTAACTAGGGTCTGTCTCTGGGCCACATTTTTGAGAGGAGGAAGTTGAGGCACAGGGAGCATGCACAGCTCACTCAGAAGCACACAGTAGAAGTGAGATTCATTCAGACTGAGGCCCTGTGAGCCCAGGATCCACACCCCTGCGGGCTGGATGGGGAAGCACGGACAGTCTTGCTGGGTCCTCCTGGGGATGCAAAGGCACAACCGCTTTTTCCAAAACAGACACTGGTAAAACATTATCCTAAAATAACTCACAACTCAGCAATCTGGCTCTGGACTTCAAAAACATTCACAGGAATTTTTCAATCCAAATTCAAACTAGAAAAGGGCGTAATTCATTCAAGGGTCCTGAGCATGTCATGTGAC